TGGTGTCTCCTGTAATGCATCTTTTTTTATTGAAAATGAAAAAGATAATATTAAATAAGTTAAAAATCAAGTCATTAAAAACCAGATAAATATAATAGAGTATTGGTTTTGTCACAACCAAAAATCAACAAATGAATAATTTGATAACAATAATAGAATTAATGCCTAAGAAATAAGGAAGAATCAAAATTAATTTTATTTATATTTAGTTAATTGATTTATGATTTTTTTTTTACATAATGATTTTTAAATATTTTGAATTTTGAAAGATACAGAAAAGTCATTTGCATATTTGGAGTTTTTATGATGTTTATGTTATTCGTCAATATGATATGACGTTTATTTAATTTTTTTTTGAACATTCATTCCTTTAAAGACTAACCTATAAATTTATATTAAATATTAAGAGAGAATAAAATTATTCTTTTTGTCATTTACCCCCACTTTTAAGAAGAATTTTCTTATTACCGATAATGATACTTAATTTGATTCTACTTAAAACAAATTACCAAAATAAAGGGGGTAAATATAAATATTAATTTGAACAAAATGTATTATAGTCAAAGTCTTTTGTAATTTTTTCATAGTACTTCACAAAATCCTCAAATAAACAGATTTCTGTTCCACAAGAAGGTAAAACTATAGCTTCTTGATTAAAATAAGTTCTTACATAATATTGCCCTTTTTTTGATTTTAGAAGAACAAACATGAAATGGACACTATATGGACTAACTTTAGACATATTCCATTTTCTCTGATTCTTTTTTGCTTCATTTAATTTTACAGTTAAAGCAAATTGATCAATATTAACTCCCATTAAAGTCATTAGAGGAGTCACAGTTTCTGCATGTGCAAATCTAAAATTACCAAGGATATTATTATCCTGTTTTGTTAATTGAATATTTTTATCATTTACAACTGCTAATTTTAATCCATTAATAATAGAGTCCAAAAGAGGGATTGCAATTTTATAATTTAACTCACTAAAATTACCTTTTGTATAATATGTTTCTAAGTCTTTGATATACTCCATTATATGTGCATCCCTAATATTAAAATATTTTAACATTCCATCACTTTTATTAAATACAACATATTCATGTGCTCCAGCAGTGAAAGCAAGTTGTGTAAGACTTTTACTTGTACTTTCATCAATATCAGTCATTCCAATTGCTTCTATAAATCTATTTGCTGTTTCACTTAATTTCATTTGAGCATATTGGTTAGACTGTTTATGTGTTGAACCACTTTTTTCATATTCAACATATCTTCTACAATTTTTATGAAAGTACAACTGAGTGTCTTTGTCTTTAGGAACAACAGTAATATTTATTTTGTTATCAATAACCATTTGTTTTTTTTCAGGTTCATCATCATAAAACCCTTCTAACCAACTTCTAGCACTATCTTGAGTCCTTTTTTTAAAGGTAGCAGTAATGTTAATATTAAGTAAAGATTTCCCATAAAACAACTTTTTAAATTCACCCTTATAATATTTTCCCAAACTAAATAATTCTTGTTTTCCTCTTTCACATAACTCTCCTTCCATTTCCATTGGAAATGGGTTTTTCCATGTAATTTTAGAATTTTCAGCAAATTTTTCAGCCATCATATTCATTGCATTTATGTCATTTGATGTTGGATATCGAGAGCCATGTCGCTGGACTAACTCTGCATGAACCACAGTGAAATGGTCCAGCGTTGGGTCTCTGATATCTTTGAGGAAGTAGGGTGTTCTAGTGCTTAAACAATGGGTTATATCTTCGTTATAGCCACAACAGCTAAGGACCATATTCACTAAAAGAACAGCCAGCATGGATCTATTTAACTATTTTTTCTTCGTTTAAATAATAACGTTATTCTTTATTTTAATTAATAACAATTTGATTTAATTTAATAACTTTGAAATAACTTTATTTAGAAAATCATAAGTTATTGTTTTAAGTTCAACTTTTTGTGAAGTCTAAATAATTTTTAACGAAGATTCATCTTTTCCTTGACTTGGCTTTGACAAAAGAGAACTTTTATAGAAAAACAAACGTATAAAAATTTAAGCTAGTTGTTGAGGTTGAAAAATGATTGACTTTTCAACACTTTTTTCTTTTTTCCCCTTCATCACTTTCTTATCTACTATTTTCTTTGGAACTTTTATTTAAAATCGTTTTAGTTATAAGAAGTAGGTTGCAAGACTATTGTTTTTCCATCTAATAAGAAGACAACTATTATAGCTGTATTTATAAAGTTTATATTCAATGTTCTAAGTTGTCCTAATCTTTATACTAATTTCAAGTTCAAACTTTCATTTCTAATTAATTTAAAATTATTAATAATTTTGACGATAATTTTTTTTCTTCTTATATCTACAGGACGTGATGAACAGATTCGAAGATGGCACGTCAGAGACACCACACGGAACCCTAAAATATTCCCCTGTTTCGAATCTCCCAGTTATCGTCTGGTTATGACATGCCTTTGGTGAGATAATATCTATTCAAAA